GGAAGGAACCCCAACTTGAGATGCTCCCGAAATTTAAATTGGGACAGGCCCCAGTGAGAGAAGGACTGAGTTTCAAGGTCCTTGCCATCAAAGGGAGCAGGAAAAGTTGTATTGTCAATCAGCTGCACCGGGCTCCATCAGAATTTGAAGTCCGTGGACATTTTTCTTTGCTCATTGCCTTGGAGCTGCGAGCCTGCCAGCTAAGTCAGCTGAATCCAATTACTTCGAGCAGCATTTCATTTGGCCCCATGGAGCACTCACTTATAACTTCCCCGAAATTTTCAATAATCCCCACCAAGGCTCCACTCTGGTCCTATCCTGAAGAGTTTTCCCTGGGTGCTGCTGGTGGGTGGGGTATGGGAGTCAGGTTGTCTACACCCCCTCACCCCCCCCCCACACACACAGCTAGCATGAAGGATACCCTTCTGCTTCTGAAGTTTCTGCCTGGGAAGGGGATATTAGAACTTAGGCAGGATCAATCCAGCTGGGTTCAGACCATGATGTGGGGCACCAAAAGACCGAAATTAGGCCAGTGCTGGATGGCTTGAAGGGAGAGAGAGGAGCGCAAAAGGCAGCTCTGAGGGAAAGGGTGTTTTGATGATGACCCAACTAACCAACTTGTGATCAATCGGTCTCCCTTTCCACTACCCAAGACCCCTGAGCCCACAGCGCACCACTCACCATAGAAAGCCCAGGCATGAACTTACCCAGTTCCTCAGCGCTTGGAAAGCAAAATTTAACTAGATGCATTGAGAGTGGAAGACTTCTTCTCAAGGAGTGATCCTACTTCTAAAGAAGCCCCTTTCAAAAAATAAATAGAATAATCAAGTGGCGCAGGCTGATGTCTGCCCATGCAGACATATATATATATATGTATATATATATATATATATATATATCAGTTTGAAGACTTTGGCCAAGGGCTTGAGCATCCAAATAACCCCTGTACCTCTACCGCGCCACCCCTGGGGGCTCAGCCAAGCAGGTTGGAGTGTAGTAAGCAGGCAAAAGGCATGCTCCCTTGGACCCAGATCTGGGAGGCTGAAGCCAGGGCGTGAAGTCAGGAGTCCTACCGGGCTGGGATTTCTCTGAGGCGCTTCCGTTGGGTGTTCATTAAGGGGTGAGTTATTGCAGCGTGAGCCAAAGGTCACTTCAAAGGCTTATGGCTACGCTCTCTAGTCTTTAGAAGCGCCCTGAACGCTTTGTGTGGGGTTTTCCCGGGTGCAGTTTAGTGTTTGCAAACTACTGAGTCGACAAATTGCACAGGGCAGATCAAGGCAGAGACTGCAGTCTCTCTCCTTTCACCTGAAAGTGGCCATCGCCTACTGAGCAGCCCAGCGGCTTGGATGTTGTAGTTTTGGGGTGAAGGTGGGGAGGGCTGTTGGTTTCTCAGGCAGTTTACAGCCGAGTCCTGATCCAGAATTGAGCTGAATACACTCAAGAAAGCTAGTTGAGCCAGAGAGGTAACATACAAACCAGGATATAGCTAGCGCCTAGCTCTGTTCACTCAGGCTTTTGGGGGCAGCGCTGGTAGCATGCAGTCAGGCGCTCCTAACTATCTACCCCCCCATTCCTGGTCTTCTAACCGTACCTTTCTTCCCTCCTTCATTCATGGCACTCTCTGCGAGGGCGTCCCACTTGGCTCACCCCTGGGTCCTTCGCTCAGGACCAGGTTCTCTCCCCTCCCCCATCCAGTCAAGGCTTTTGCCCCCTAGTTCCCCTGGAGCCAACTGAGTCTTCATTCTGCTGGGGCCAAAACGTCTGGAATTGCTGCAGGCACTACATACAATAGTCACATTGATTATGACACCCTCAAAGGGGGTAAAGGCTCTCCCGGTTTGTTTGCAAGATGGAACAGGCTGCTACTGAGTTTTCCATTTTGTTCCAGATCTGCTTCCACAGAATTTCAAAGAAAACTGAAGAGCCTACTAAAAGAGTTAGAAACAAAATCCAAGAAAACACACACATACAAAGCTGTGGTGAGTGGGGGTGATTTAAATAAAAAATAATTTCCACTACATTTCCATGTTTCCCCCCCTCAACTCAAAGTAGCCATCCCAGGATTCATTCATCAAGACATAAAACAAAGGGCGGGCGGCTTTGAAGTGGATCACCTCAGTGTGAGCTGCCGCCTGTTACATGAAAACCGATCATCGGCCTTCAAATTTATGGCGCTGTAATAGAGTGCGTCCGCTGTCTTAAATGCAGGGTATGTTACAGTACTGAGTTATCCGGGCTAAACAGGAGTGATTTAGAATGGGCATCCCGGGCTTCCCAAAGGGCAGAAGAGGCTCAGGCTGAGAGGTCGGGAGAATATGGGCAAATAGTCAATTTTCTTCCCGGCAAAACCGCTGCGGGAGTGGTTTCCCAAACCCGAAGTTGCAAAGCCATCAAGGAAAGGAGTGTCACCACTCGATGCCACCTGATTAACAAGAATGCACAGTAAGAGTCATGGCCTCCAGGATGAGACCCGTGGGTTATTTGAAGACCCGGCTTAGGCAAAGTAAGAACTGCCAGTTAGATCGACTTAACCCTCTGAGATTTTAAGAGAAGCAGACACAAGCAGTGCTCCATCACCTCCTGCTTCTCTCTCAACTGGCACCGAATGACGGTGGAGGTCCGTTATTTACTACCACCACAGTGCTAGACACAGCCTGGTGCTGTCGCCTCCCTCCCCGCCCAAGCCTCCCTCTCCCTCGGCCTCCCCGAGGCCGGCCCCGGCGGGCGAGCAAACGCCTAGCAGGTCTCTGCGCGTCCGTCGAGCCTCGCCGCATTTGAGGCCAGGCGGGCGGCAGGTCTGTGGTCCTCCGGCAGGCTTGTGATCCTCTCTGTCCAACTCGGGGTGCGGAGCACAGCTGCTGGCCCAGGCCGGCGCCGGCCACCTTATATAATCCCGCAGCTCACACGCAGGGCGTATGGACGGGAAAAGTGCGGAGTAGGGGATTCTTTTGCTGCTCTGCCTCCTACGCAGAGCCTGCTTTCCACTTCTGAAAAGTGCCGGGCCTTGGGAAGTGTTTTTCTTTTCATTCCTTACTGAAGCGTTTACTGCTGCCGTGGTCGCAGTCATAAATTTTGTTACAAACCACAATGACAGGTGCATTGATATGCACCGTGAGAGCTCCAGCTGCTTAATAACCCTGTCCCCTGGCCGCTGTGAGCGCCTTTTATTTATTCGGTATCATATTAGGTATTGATCTGGGCAGAATTAAGTGCAGTGAGCAAGTATCAGGGCTCCGTTGCTTCTGAGGCTAGGCCGGCTGGGCGGGCCAGCACGGCCGGGGAGCGAATGATGCGAACTCTGAGAGGGTGCCTGGCCTTCCTCCCGGCTGGAAACCATTTGGCTCTGTCTTCTGGGCCTGAGGTTAGGCCTCCAAGCTGAGTTGGGTAACTTCCAGGGGCTTTGGGAAAGGACTAGCCAGTCCAGTTAGGTGACCCTTCCCAAAGAGGAGCTGAGGGGCTCCAGAGGACTGGGTGGCAGCCCTGTTCCGTTCCACTGGCTCGGGAGAGGGTGGGGGTGGATGGAAAGAGGAGGAAGAGGAGGAGGGGGAGGGGCTAAGAGAAGGAGCGGAAAACTGAGGACTACTCCAAAATAAGTAGTCCTGCTCAACTGCCCCTCCCCCAAAGCTGTGTCCCCCCCAAGGCATTTGGATCTTGGCGCTCAAATGAGCAAAGGTACCAAAGGGTGAGAAAAGAAAGCCTTAAAGGGGGGGGGGTGATCGAAAAGATGAGCCACTGAACAGTTGACCATTGTCCAAATGATTTATGACCCAGTCCCGGTTTTTAGGTTCAAGCAGAGTTCACAAGGAGTAGGGATTTCTGGAAAGAAATAAAGTTTTTTCTTTAAATCAGTTTTGGAGCAATATTCTCAGGTTATGCTTTGGAAGCAGGGCTTCTTCATGGCTCGGGATGGTGGGTGCTGCAAAGCCCCCCCCCAAAGAGAACAGCACCATTGCTTGTAAAGAAATGGACATTAGACCATGGAGTGGGAAATTCTTTAAGGCAATGTAAACAGGCAAGAGATGACTCTGGTTGTGAGGACTATCTGGAACCTCTGAGGTCTTTATAGAGAGATTTTTCTAGGAACGTGCCACAGGCGCAAAAATAATATGTAAAGCCATCTGTCCCATAGGCTTGCTTAGTTCCTCAGGAAGCGATTTTAATGTGACTGGTCCACCTCCCAAGACAAACTTGGTCAACACAGAGGCAGAAGGGGGATGTTTTGCTTCCACAGTTGTCAGTGGAATGACAAAGCAGCAGCAAATTCTGGTGTGCTCAGAAGCCTGATGCAACCATTTAGACAAGCAGAAGAGGGCAGGAGCCCTGAAAGGCCCTAAAGCTTAGTCAAGCCAGTTTGGCAGGTCCTTTGGCCTGGGGCAAACATATATAAATATTAGTCACAGAATGAGGATTTAATGTCCATTTGGTGTTTGGTAACTTTAGTAGCAGTGATTGGTATTGAAAACAAATCAAAAGAATTAGTCTAGCTTTGTTAGGTGGCTATCTTAACTGCATACTTTTATGGGGACTAGTAGAAACAGTACCTACAACAAACCGTTTCAGTATTACTGCAACCCAATGAGGAGGACCCATCTCTCATCAAGATTAATGGCATATTCACTTGTATTCTAAAACAAAATGAGCAACCATACTACCAAACAAAATTTGGAGGGTTTTCTTAGTTGGTTGAGCTTCCTGGTAAAAATAGAGGGGGAAATTAATGCAGAAGTGTTTTGATTCCTGTGTTTAAATCTGACTGGCCATAAATTGCATGATGTGGTCTCTCATACTGGTGAAAGTCAGGGAGAATTTTTGGAAAGAAACTTTGTCAGGAATTTAGGCCAGAGAGCTGACCTGTGAGTTTTCTTTATCAAACAGACAAAAGTGACTGAATGATATTAGTTATACTTTAACTCCTCAGAACCCTTTCAGAAGGGGCGGGAACAGCATCCCCCCTATGAAGAGTGAGGGCATACAAAAGGGGAAGAATTTTTCTTAGCCCCCCCATCCTTCTAATTCTGAGTCCATTCATCATGTCATGAGAACTTCTCTCATTGGTTATAGGTCAGATGGGAGGTGGGGCAGAATGGAAGGTCCAGAGCAGAGGTCAATAATAATAATAATAATAATAATATCTATTTATGTAAAGATACAAAGAAAAATGATAAAGTTATAAGAGCATTCTCCATTTACACACTCTACATTTTCAAGATTTAAATCCCTTTATCCATTTTCAGGGACATCCTTCTAAATGTAGCAGAAGGACAAAGTAAGGGGTATGCGGAAAATGTAGATGAAAGAGACTTTTTTGTTGTTTCAAAGTAAATCTGGGAGCCTTTAAGTCTTCCTTTTGTTTTTTACTTCCTAGTTTTCTATACTGTAGATTTCATAGTGCTGACCCATAAAACTGTGAATTCTCACCCTGTCATCAAAGTGGACTGTCTGGGTCCTCAAAAAGGATGCTGTGCTTTTGAAACTAGGTGGGAAAGATGGTTTTGGAGGGAAGCTCTGGAAACTCTGGGTGTGCAATAGGGCATTTTTTCCTATCCATCCAAACACCTGGTTATGGTTTTGGAGTAAGAGGCCCCCACATAGCTTTCACAAAGCCCTTGGCTTGATCTCTAGCACCAAACAAAACGAAACCCCAGGATTATGCAAAGACTAACTGATTGTGACCTGTTCACTCACTCATTTATCCATTATTCAATAACCATTTATTGTACATCTACTTGCAGGGTATTGCACTGAACACTAGTGATATATAGATGAATAAAACACAATCCCTCCCTTTAAGGAGTTCATAGTTTAGGAGGAGAATCAGCCAGTCATAAGTGTTTTCCCATGCAGGCCCAAAAGCTATATTGACAATTTTGGAGAAAGACAATTCCCCAAGAGAATCTTGGGGTGGAAGGAACTTCTTCCTTAGGCTAAAGTTGAACTCTCACGTTTAGGAGAAATCCAACTTTTCCAAGAATTCATATAAATTGGATTTCATGAAACCCCCAATCCAGAACCTTGCCCATCCTTCCACATCAAAGTGAGTGGGAAGCTGAGAGCTTATTCTAACCCTTCTATATTGATTGGTCTTGTCAATGACAGTCTCTCTAGGATCTCTCCCTTTTTTTCTTGACAGGTCATCTGGAGCCTTGGAGCTGGCCCAGCTCTCTCAAGATTCAGCAGACACTGGCCTTGGTGGCGAAGAAGACAGTGGTAGTCAATGTTATTTGGACAGGGTCAGCAGGCCCTGGAGCTTCCTGAGTGCACCATGCAGAAGGCTGCATACTATGAGAACCCAGGACTCTTTGGGGGCTATGGTTACAGCAAAGCCACTGACACCTATGGCTACAGCACCCCTCATCAACCCTACCCGCCCCCTGCTGCTGCCAACTCCCTGGACACTGACTATCCAGGTTCTGCCTGCTCCATCCAGAGCTCTGCACCTCTCCGAGCCCCAGGTCACAAAGGAGCTGAACTCAATGGTAGCTGCATGCGGCCTGTCACTGGGAACAGCCAGGGTGGGGGTGGTGGCAACCAGCCTCCTGGTCTGAACTCAGAGCAGCAGCCACCACAACCCCCTCCTCCGCCACCCACTTTGCCCCCATCCTCGCCCACCCATCCTGGAGGTGGAGGACCTTCCAAGAAGGCCAAGGGCGGGCCCAATGCTTCCAGCTCCTCAGCTACCATCAGCAAGCAGATCTTCCCCTGGATGAAAGAATCCCGACAGAACTCAAAGCAGAAGAACAGCTGTGCCACTTCAGGTAGCTCTCTGGGCAGGCTGTCCCTGGACCACATCCCTCCAGATTGGCCCCAAGAACCAGTTACCTGGGAGCCAAGAGTCCCAGGGCTACCAGAGCAACCTTAGCAACAGCATATCCAAATGTAGAAATGTCTGTTCTTTCTAGTGACTTTGGCTGGGTGCATGGACTTGCAGAGATGGGTGTGCTTTCATTGCTGGTGCCATTGCTGGTCTGGGCTCATGCTTATTAATAGAAAGTTCTCTCTTATGCTCATATTATCTGCCTTCCCAGGCACTGGTCGTGGCTCAGCTTCCTCTTTCACCCACCAGTCCTTCAAATGTGAAGACTGGCAGGGTGCGGTTTCATACACCTGTAATCCCACCACTGGAGGCTGAGGCAGGAGTATCTTTAGTTCAAGGAGAGCCTGAGAAACATAGTGAGTTCCTGGACACCATTAAGAGATCTTGTCTCAAAACAGGAAACCAAGTCAAGGCGAACGATACCCAAAGCAGAAGGAAAAGAACCATGTCCAAATAGGTTATAAACATTTTCCATTTATTTTGTTTAACTTTCCAAAGAACTCTTTAAAATAGATATGTAATAACATCCTCATTTCCCCCAGATTCACAGAACTACCAAGTGGTAGCCTTTGAATCTACAGGGTATGACTTCAGGGTTTTCAGGCACAGCTGTGAGACTCAGCCCACTCTAGTGAATCTGTAACAGGCAAGAGCGTGCTCTAAGGGCAGAGAATAATTTGGAACAGTAGCAGCTGTGCTTTCACAGCCTGGAAAGAGAGACTCCAGAGCTGAGGAAGACTTCTCTTGGGTCTGGTGAGGAGTGGATGCCGGCTCCTCTCTGCTCAGACTGCTGCTTCTTGAACATTTCTGGCTTGTGTTCTTGGTGGGGTTTATTTTCCAGGTCTGGGGCTAGTCTGAAGCCTGGGATGTGACATGTTAGCGGGTCTCTGCTCTGCCTGATGCTCTCCGGGCTGTGGCTCCTAGGGGAAAGTATCTTCCTGCCTGAAAGCTCCCTCCTCTGCCCCTCCCTCCTTAGCTCAGACTCAGGCCCTCCCTCCCAGGAGAAATCCATTTGTCTTCCCTGTGAAGGAGTGGACAAGCAGCTGAGGGGTGGCAGGGGAGGCGAAGCCAGTGCTGAGGCTGCTGCTCCTAGCATTGCCAATATGCAACATGCTTCCAGCCTGGCCTTGGGATCCCCTAAAACTCCAGGGCAGTATCTGGGGTGGGGGTATCAGCACCTCCCTGCCTTTGGGTGCACCTGGCTGGAGTGAGGTGCCCAGACCCTTGCCCACTTCTTTGCTTGTAAACAAACAAGGCAGGCTGGAGCTGCCTCTAACCCTCCCCCCCCAACCTCCAGCCCCCAGTCCCCAGCAGCAGAGGTTGGGAGGGGTATCCAAAGAAGTCTGGCTTTTTTGACGGGGAGTGTCTCATGAGCTGCTCTTAGCCTCGCAGCAAAGTCCTTCGTGGCCTGTGGGTTGAGACGAGATGATGAGGTAAGGTGTGGAGGAAGGCAAGGGCCGAGTCAGGCAGAAGTTACAGGTGCGACTGACAGGTAGGCCTAGAGGCCAGTAGAATGAGTGTTCCCTCAGACATAGGCCTCTCAAAAACCTCCACCCAGCTCGAAGCAGGACTGGAGGTGAGAGGAGAGGAGGAAAATGGAGACAGGAAAGCAAAACCCTCCTTCCTGAGGTTTCTTATCCCTGGCTCAGCACCCTGTCTGTCTCCCCCACTGTCCAGGAGAGAACTGCGAGGATAAGAGCCCACCGGGCCCAGCCTCCAAGAGGGTGCGCACGGCGTACACGAGCGCTCAGCTGGTGGAGCTGGAGAAGGAGTTCCACTTCAACCGCTACCTGTGCCGGCCGCGCCGCGTGGAGATGGCCAACCTGCTGAACCTCACCGAACGCCAGATCAAGATCTGGTTCCAGAACCGTCGCATGAAGTACAAGAAGGACCAAAAGGCCAAGGGCATCTTGCATTCTCCGGCGGGCCAGTCCCCAGAGCGCAGTCCTCCTCTCGGAGGAGCGGCGGGCCACGTGGCCTACTCCGGCCAGCTGCCGCCGGTGCCCGGCCTTGCCTACGACGCGCCCTCGCCACCCGCTTTCGCCAAATCGCAGCCCAACATGTACGGCCTGGCCGCCTACACGGCGCCGCTCAGCAGCTGCCTGCCGCAGCAGAAGCGCTACGCGGCGCCCGAGTTCGAGCCCCATCCCATGGCGAGCAACGGCGGCGGTTTCGCCAGTGCCAACCTGCAGGGCAGCCCGGTGTACGTGGGTGGCAACTTCGTCGACTCCATGGCGCCCGCGTCCGGGCCGGTCTTCAATCTGGGCCACCTCTCACACCCGTCTTCGGCCAGCGTGGACTACAGCTGCGCCGCGCAAATCCCTGGCAACCACCACCACGGACCGTGCGACCCTCACCCCACCTACACAGATCTCTCGGCTCACCACTCGTCTCAGGGACGCCTGCCCGAGGCCCCCAAACTGACACATCTGTAGCGGTAGCCGGAGGCCTGGTAGCTCGGAGCAATTACCTCTCTGGTTTTGGTGACAGGGGTGGTGGGGGGCAGGGCCTGAGGGGCAGTTCGTGGGACCCCCCCTCCCCGATCTGGTCTGGCTGCTGCCTAACAAGTCTCAGGCTTCCAGCGGCCGAGGCTGACACGACTGGGCCTCCCCTCCAGGCGCGCATCCTCCTTTGGGTGACTCGCCATAAATCAGCCGCAAGGATCCTCCCCTGTAAACCTGACAGTGCCATATACTGCGGACCGAGGGACTCTAATCTGGTAATGGTGTCCCTAAGGTAAGTCCGAGACCCATCCGTGGCGTGTCCTGAAGAGGGGCTAGAGCCTGGAGAATCCTGGACCTGGCCCTTCCGTCTAGCTTAGTTTCAGAGACCTTAATTTATATGCTCCCTCCCCTCCTGTAAAGATTGCATCGGACTAAACAATCTGTATTTATTATTTGAAGCGAGCAATTTCGTTTCCCTGATTATTTATCCTCGTCTCGATGTATTTATGTGTATATTTGTAGAATTCTCCAGCCGGGCCTAGGTACGCGCTCCCAGGCCTTGGGGGCCACATTTCACCTCTTTAGTCCCCTTGGTCTGAACTAGTTGAGAGAGTAGTTTTGAACAGTTGTAACCGTGGCTGGTGTTTGTAGCTGATATAAAGGACCGAGATCACAAATGGTCCTTAATGGGTAGAGTCAGGCAGCCCGGTGGCATAGTACGGCTCACTTTAGTCGTTTCTCAACAGCCGAAGCCCTCACCACTCGACACAGCTTATTGATTACAAATTGTCTGGTACTATTTGAACAAACATTTAGAATAAAAAAATTTTCTCAGTTGGAAGTGTATCTGTGTTAATCACGCTCATTTGCAGGCAGACTACTCTGCCTTGATCCCTCGGTAAGACCCCACCCCCCCAGTAAAAAAGGACCCTCTGAAAAATATTTTATTTATTCGGAACCTATTGCACGAATTGTCGTGGAGGAATGCTTGATTACATTCACTCTATTGAAATTGTAGGAGGGATGATGGCAATAGAGCTTTCTACGACCTCTTTCTAGTCTAGATATGATCGCTACATGGAGGGGAGGGCAGAGCTCATTTTTCTACATTAAATAATAAAAATTAAACTTTGGGGGAAAACTGACAATCAAAGAAAAAGCATAAGAGAAACAGGGAGGATTAAGCTATGAAAAGCTAAGGTGCAGGGTATAAAAAGAAATGACCATGCAAAAACAAGCACCCAGGCTTTTATCTCTAGGAAGCGCTCAAGATTTTTTTTTCCTTTGTAATGGTCAGTAGTTCATTTCAAAAGAAAACAAATGTTCTCCATAAATGTAAAATAATAAAAGTTTCATTAATGGAACATAACACGTATAAACACCTTGTTTACTCCTGTTTCTTTGTGCAAAACGGGCAAAAAGTGTACAACATTTATAATCGTTTTGTAAATATTAGTGTGACTCCAGCTAGGGTCGGGCACTTACACCCACTTCTATAGTAGGGGGCACTTGGAAAAAGGTCTTCAGACAAGGTTCAATTATTTTGTATTTCAGCGAAGTCTGCCCACGCATTTCTGTTTGGTTTGGCAAACGAGCAACTCCCACGACCAGCCTGGTGACACGAGGTGGAATTCCTATTGTGTGGAAATAGATTTTTCTTTTCTGGTGGAACAACAATCGTTTTCTATTTGGATGTTTGTGTTTCGCTCAGTAATGATGACTCAAAATAATATTTAGTTTCCTTGTTCATTTGTGCTGTTTTAAAATGGCATGCTAGGCTGGGGTGGGAAGGGGTATCCTTTTGCTAAATTTCACTCTATCTGAGCAAGTTTAAAGTATATATGTTGTAGAACTGTATCAACAGAATAAATGACTTCAATTGAAGGCATATTTTACCCACTCTCAAGGCTTAACCTTGTTTTCTATGAAACTTGCATTCATAGGCAGAATCTATAATTGTAAGAAATTATTTTTTAAGCTCTTAAGGAAATCAAAGAAGAGCTAGCTGCCTTGTAGGAAATCAGAGCCACCTTTCTTAACTGGCTAAATATTAAATAGATGAATTGTCAAGCTGTTTAGCTTCAGCCCGGTTTCTCTCATCTCCTCTTCCTACCATAAATAATAATAAAAATACATAATGCATCATGGCTTCAGGCGTTTCCCAGCGCGGTGTGTTACCGCAGGAGTATCTGCTGAGTCTGCGGGTGTCTGCAAAACCCCAAGTGTCATCTGTGGCTTAGGGTTTCATGGATTAGACTTTAAACAGTGTCTAGCCCGGCTGACATCAGCTTCCTCTCACACATAGCCTCTAAGGAAGTGTAAGGCTGGGGGCTCCCACTCTAGGCAGCCGCAGCCTCCCAGGCCCTGCTGCGGAGTAAGGACGTTGGGAGAGGGGGGGGGAGGGGGTCGCTTCGACCAAATCCCGGCCGTCTCCCACCTCCTGAAGTTCTAGAGACATCAGAGAATTGCTTGGTTCTTTCCTGCCACTGGCGGGAATCACGTGACGGGCACACACGCTCCTGGCGTGGGTGGCGGCGGCGGCGAGTTCTGGGAGGGCGCACTCCCACGCGGCCGCCCGCCCGCCCGCCCGAGAGAGCTGGGCCCGCGGCACAACCATTTAAAACTTCATAAATTATAAACAAGCCGCCTTGGCCTTCGCCATAAATTCCGCTCCTCTTGAGCCTGCAATTAGTGTTAGGAAGCACCCAAGTCTAAACACAACCAAACGCCCTCTGAAGGGTCCAACTGCCCGAGGTTGCAAGCCTTTATTTATTTCCCGATGCCACCCCCTCAGCACCCGAGGTTTGCACACAGTCACCTCCTCCCCCGCCACCGCGGGCAGCACACTCCGCTGGGTTCCCGCTCAGCCTGGGAAGGTCACAATAGCAGCTCTATCTGCCAAGGCGCCTGCCGCCTCCTCCCTCCCGGGTCTCGGAGAAGCAAAGAAAGAAGAGTGGGGGAGGGGGAGCCTGGCCAGCAATGGCGCCCGGGTCTCAGGCCCCCGCTCCAGCTTCAAGATCTCTGGCGGGACACGATGCGGGAAGTTGGCAAGGGAAGGGAATTAGCACCCTAGCGTGTCTTTCTCCCACGACATACTCTGTGAGGCAGAGGAGCCCCGACCCTCATCTCCTTGTTGAGGATGCCTAGAAGCAGTCAGGTCGACCCAAAGCCCAGGAGTCCATTATGCCAGCGGCTTCCTTTCTGGTTCTCTGCAGAGAAGGCCTCAGCCACAACATGGGGCTATGCCAGAAGGGAGGAACGCCCGGGCCTCTCCCGAGGGTGTTGGTCTTGGGAGGTCTACCTCTTTTGCTGAAGGCCAAGGATGGCTCAGTTCCGGCTTTGGCCAGCCCTCCTTTTCCTCAATTGCTTTTTTTTTTTTTTTTTTTTTTTTTTTTGGTGGTGAGGGGGTGGGCATCGGGAAGGTCATGGATCTCCGTTAGATTTCAGAAACTTTAGATCCGAAGAAAAGAGGTCAGGTCCTTGAGCCTGGCTCATGGATGGTAGTCCCTTAGGCATCCCTGGTTGTTCTGTCCAGATAACCAAATGTGGATTAAAGTAGGAGGATGGTCAGGCCCTAGAGGGTATGGCCCTACTGCAAAATGGAGGTGGGGGTGGGGGTAGCGGTGGGGAAACAAGGGAAGTTTTCCTTGCAACATGGGAAACCTCGGGACACATTCTGATGTGCAGCTAGCCAGGGGATGGGAAGTTGCCATGGGAAGCCTTGGAGAGTAGCCTCGACTGTCTGCTACTCTGCTAAGGAGGTAAGAAAGGGCGATCAAGCACATACTCTGCCTTCTGGCTTTCAGAACATAACCTCATCCGGGCACCTGACAAAGAAAAATCCCACTCTGATGGAATCATTAAGTTAACCATCCATTTGCACCGTTTCTTTGTACAGGCTTTCAAGTGGGAGACAGGAGAATACAGAGCTAGCACCTTCCCTTTGTGCGTGAGACTGGAAGGCCAGCCCCGATCACAGGCAGATCAGCCAAATTGGTTCCTGAGGCCCCAGAGGCCGCTAACCCTGCTGAATAAGAGTCTTCGAATTTCTATCTCTAAGAAGTATTAAACGACAGTGACTACCTACACTAGCTACCCCGTCCTTTTTTCCTTCCTCACCAATGGCCCTTGAGTGAAGTGGTCTTCTCCAGTAGGCTTGGAAGCTTAGGCTTTCCATCTGTTACCGAGGGTAAAGAGGAGGCTGTGAGTGGGTGTATGTTTGAATAACAAAGAACTTAACTCTTCTTTCTAATAATGACTGCTCCCCTTATTTGACACCTTCCCCTGTGGGGGTAGGGGGAGTCACAATCTTGTTTACAACTTCAGTATTCAAGGGGCTGTCACAGGTCTGTTTGACTTTACCAGGAGAGTTGGTTGAAACTTCCTTCTGAAGTCAAGAGTTGGGTAATCCCAGTTTACAGGTCTAGGAAGGTCTTCATCTGGGAGTTCTTAGTGAAAGCTTTGCTCCTTGTTTCAGAAACTTAGAGAAAATAACGACAGAAGTCTATGAGTATGCAAGAGAGGCAGGAGGCCCCGTGCCCCCCAGTTTTAGTCTCATCACTCTTGGGAACTGCAACTTTCCATACAGGGTATATTCAGAACCAGGGTCAACAGACATTTGGGCACCAAGCCTTACCTGACCCGCACCTTTAAGGGCTAGCTCTTCTAGATCTCTCTCTCAGAAGGAAGGCCTGGGTGGATAGCAAAAGACGGGGTGGGTAATGCTGAAGGGACTGGTGGCTGGAGAGGACTATCACTGACATCTCATTGTTACCTTGTCTTCTACTCCACTGCAAACGTTCTTACCTTTGAGGTCCAAGGTTGGTGTCAAGTGGATTTATAAACCTGACCTGAAGCCTTTTCTTACGCATTTCCCTCGGGTCTCACATCCTCCCTGTCAAGTTACAAAGTTCAAAGACAATCTATTTCAGCTCAGGTCCAGAGTGAAGCAAACTGAACAGACTTCCCACAAGGGGAAAAGCTCAAGGTACAAGGAGGACCAATCTTTTGCAGTAGTAGAGAGAGCTGAAGGCCACCATGCCACCCAATTCACGCCAGGCTATGGGGTGGGAGCCACTGCAGGCATCTTCTTGTTCTACTTCTTGTGATAATTACTTCTAAAAACAACCTAGGAGTGGAACCGATGGCAAATATGGAGGATGGCAAATATGCACCCCAACACTAAGTTACACCCACAGCCAGGGTAGGAATGAATGCCTTGGCTAATCTGACTCATTTGGCTAATCTGGCTCATTTTTCAATAAGGTGTAGAATAATTTAGCATTAGAGGGGACCAGAGGAAGAGGAGATCTCCATATGAATCAGGATTCACGAAGAGCTTTGGTACCGACCCAACTGTTAGGCAGGAGAAGCAGAGAGTTAAACCAGGCTGGGAGGGCCTGTGGGCAGGGACCTTTCTTAAAAGGAGACTGGAAGGTCTTTTAATGACTCTATTGTTCACTTCCTTGGCCTGAAAATACCCTAGCGCCCCCCCCCCCCAGTTTCTTCTTAGGGCCGCGCAGGAAAATGGGTCACACCAGGAATCCTCTAGGGAGTTGGTCCCAGTGTCCCTCATTCCTGTCTGCCATTCCTTAGAGCAGCCAACGCCATCCCGTGGCTGGCAGGGAACACAAAGGATGCCCCGATTCAGCCCCCCGGACCTAGGGTCACTGTAAGCAGGAGGTTGGTGAAGGCTCCACTCTCAGCGTCCTGGTCGCCCGCGGGAACAATAGCTGCCGCCTGCCCCGGAGGTCGAGCGCTCAGCACAATGGTCCACGCTGCACCGAGACGCGCGCGCTGACCCGGCTGCCGCTACCCGCTGGTGTTCCCGCATCCACCTAGAACTCTTCAGCAAAGACAAACGGTGAGTTAATCACCCTACCGGCTGGCGGCCGCGTCTTCTGCGCCCGCCTTGGAGGCGGGATGGGGAGTGGGGTTCCTCTGTGTGTGTCTGGGGTGGGGGGCGGGAAAGGTTAGTCCTATTAAGAGTTCATCAATCACCCGGTGTGCACTTTTCGCTCGACAGCGGTTCCTCCTTCTTTAGAGCAAGTCTGGGCCAGCTGGGAGCCGACCCGCAAGCAGAGGAGACGCTGGTACTCTGGGTGAGCGCTGAGAGAGGGTGCGACACAAGCCCCGTGCCCGCCCCACAGCAGCTAGGATGGAGCGTCGGAGGGGAGGGTCCGGGACATCTCTGCACAGCACCCGAGGGGAGGGCTACTACTTAACTCCTAAGCTCTAACCACAGCCCACCAGCACAGACCTCGAATTTAGTAGCAAGCCAGCACCCACGCTAGCCCCTTGACCCATTGTGACCCGGCATTACTCCCCCCCCACCTACCCCAGTGATACTCACATAGGCCCCTCTATTCCCAGACCGGCACACACCTCCTTTGACAGCAGGGCAAGAAAAACCCCCTGGATCAAAGTTTCTTGCTGACCCCAAATCTCTGCCTGCAGGCCTCTTTGCGTGGGAGTAAGTAGGTCAAGGCTGCTATTGAACTTGTAGTAAACTTGAATGCCATTTAAAGTTACAACAAACGCATGTATATGCACCATCCACAACAGCGTTCCTGTCTACTGTAGCAGCAAGACTATTAAGTATTTACTTCATCTTTTGGGGGGGGAGGTTGTTAATTTTAGTAATATCATAAAGGAAAGACTGGAAGCTTCCAGAGACAGTCATTAGCTTGTTGTTTACAACAGACCGGTTTGGATGGAATAGGTGGTGATAACATTCCTATACCACTTCTGGAGTGACAAATGCTTTCTGTGAATTCCAAAAGCTTTGGCCTAGTCCCCCTTGTGCCTTTTTCTCTGGGTGGCATCAGCTGAAATGTTTCTTTAGTTGGATAGGATGAACTGCTCAGCCCTCGTCAAAGTCCTAGCGTT